AGACCTCACAAAACACAGAAAACATGTCAGAAGCGGACTCCCGGAAAAAGGGCTTCACCAAGGGCAGAAGTGCCACTTTCAGCATCGACGGATTCAGCTTCACCATTGGTAAGAACCTGTGCAATCAAATCAGACAGGATGCCAGAATAAGGATTTGATGGAAATTTGGTTAAGGACAATCCCTTCTTTACTTTCTGAAGTCCACCGCGACTGCAGTCTCAGCAGATGTACAGTACGCTCATTTGTTTTGGTGCTCCAGGAATCGCTCTTGATTAGACGTTACAGTCACAGATCTGTTGATTTCAGGATGTGATGTGAGTGTCTGATTTCTGAAAAGACCCATTCAGGTGAGCACAACTCCATAGCAACCAGAGTAAAATGCACCTGACCATGCAAACACACACACACACACACACACACACACAATACACAAACAAACAAATTCACCAATCTTAAACTATAGTGTTCTTTCATGGCATATGAAATTTAGTGAGCTCATTTAATCTGGTGTGTGTCTTCTGCAGTTTCTTAGGAGAAATACAAATACAAATTGTTGATTTACAGTAAGAGTGCAGCAGAGTGAGAAAAGAAAAGCATTCCCATGTGAACTGCGTGTACAGTAACTTGTAATTTGAACATGGAATAATTTGATGATAAATATATGAGTTCATATCAAGATCTTTGACTTTTTGTTCGGTGCACAGTTTGAGATATATATTAGCGTATTATATGCTTAATTTGCATACTTTCATATAAATATTAGGGCTGTAAATACAAGTTTTTTTTTTACATAATATAGGCCTATGTGGGTGCACTGTGTATAATTATTTTGTATATATATAAATACACACACACATGCATGTATATTTAAGAAAAAAATATTATTTATATATAAAATATTTATATTTATATATAATATAAATTATATATAAATCTATATACAGTATATACATGAAAATATTTCTTAAATATATACAAGCATGTGTGTGTATTTATATATATATAAAATAATTATACACAGTGCACCCACATATATTATGTAAAAAAAACTTTTATTTTGGATGTGATTAATCGTGATTAATCATTTGACAGCCCTAATAAATATGTATATTTATTTTATATTATTTTGTGTTTTCAGTTTTAGTAGTTTTGCCATTTTTATAATTAGTTTTTTATTTGAGTTTTTAGTGATTTTAGTGCTTCAACTTATTTCAGTTAGTTGCCAAGGGAACTTTTGTTTCCAGTTTTTCAATTTTAAGTTTATTTTTTATTTTATTTTGTATTACAGCTTTAATTCAATACAGCTGACTCTTCATTAAAGACTTCGGAGCACAGTTTAAGACATTGCTGCGATCTTCCAAGAGACTTGATATTACTGGAGTTTCAGTGAAAATCAGTAGGAGTCTCAATTTGTTCTCCATTTAATATCTGTCTGTGAAACAACTGAGATATTAAAGAACAATCTAACAGATTGAGGAAAATGGGGGTCCATCATCTATTTTAGGCTGCGTCCGAAAGCTTAAATGCTGCCTCAGAGGACGTATAGGAAGGCATCAGGGCACGTCCGAATCTAAAGTTAGCTTCACTTCCTGTCTCCTATAAGATTCCTTCATCTGATTGATGTTTGAAGCCAGCATAGATGTATCCTTCACTGCCTCTGATATCCCACAATCCTTTGCTTTACATGTGACAGTTGAGCTAAAAGATGGCTTCTGAAAGTTGTGGTTGGTGGTCAGTTTGTGTGAAAATGTACGTTTTTAATCAGTTTCACTTCTGATGTCATTTCTAGAGAGAAATTATGCGACATTGTTAATTGTTATTAAGTAATAAGGCATAATATATATATTTTTAATTATAAATATATCATATCATAATTAATTCTTAAACAGAATTATGGCTGTATCATATTTCTTATCAACGTTTTTTATCGAAAAATATCGAAGATGGTGAAAAACCACCCGTTATCAAATAATTTCGGATAGCTGTATGCTACCGTCTAACTAAAGAACATTAATAACGAGAAATGTTTAATTTCACAATCTATAGCTTTGGTTATATATATGAAACATATAAGTTTAAAAGACATTAATGGTCATTATAACGTAGTTCAAACGACTTGTATAATAAAGTGATATCTGATTTGTAACCAGGCACTAAAGCAATTACCCATAAAACGTGCTTTGAACCAATCGGATTGCTTGGGTCCTAAGCTGGGACTCAACACTTCACCACACCAGAACCCGACTGTTGCACTCTATTGGACAGCATATTAGAATACTCGATTCTGATTGGTCAGATATTTTGATATGATAATAACTAAATATAATTGCCCGTCGACCCACACAATTGGTTTCCAGCATATCTGCGCTTGTTTCATGTCTTTCTTCTCACATAATAACATTATTTTAGCCTAAATTAGTATTATATGTCCATGGGCTTCACGTCTTGGTCCTGATCACCTTGTCGGGGTCTATTTTGAGATGATAAACGTCTGACTGTCCATTTTTCCATACTCGGACACACCGTCCTGTTTATCAGCCTTTGTTTCGGAGAAACACACACCCACATGGGAGGACAGCGGTTACAGGGTGTCTTACAGGAAAGGTGTTATGATGGAAACATAGGTGTGAGATGTTTTTTTGTCTCTGTCCTGATGGATTTATAGACATTTAAAAAAAGCTCCTTGCAAACCTGTTTATTTAACTAGCGCACTTTTAATACTGTAGATAAACTAGCCAACAAGTCGAGCATCGCACAAGAACGCAGGAAGTATCCACATTTCATCACAACACTCCGTGGCATTTTCAAACATTTGCTTGTCGTCATGGTTACACAGCCCAGAAATCAATTGCTCAGTGTGTTTTAAGCTCATTTTTGTGACATGTTGTCAATCAGGTCCAGTGGAGCGTGATGACGAACCGTTAATGATGATTGGCTAAAGCAACACGACCACTTCCTCTCCTCCCTCAGTCACTCTGTGGGCTTTTAATGGTTTGCCTCCTGGGGAAACATAGCGTGTGTGTGTTTTGGTCTATTTAGGTCTCGATACAGAATGTCATGACACTTAATGGGAGTTGTATGATGTTGTGGTGTAAATGGTGTTGTACTAATGCATGTTCTGATTTTTCTCAGCTCGAGCAATGCATACTCAAAATCCAATCTCATTGACCGGTGCATCTGCCAGACTGCTGTTTTCCTGACTGTAGTAGGCAATGCAATTTACATTCATGCACAGAAGCAACTCTTACAACACATGTAAATAATCTCTTGAACTTTGAACTTACCGGTGACCTGACTAGGTTTACACTGACAGTAATGCACTGAACTGTGGTGTATTAAAAGATTGCAAATGCATGCATTACTGGTACTGCTTATACTTAAGGTAAGACATTTATTCAAATCACTAACCTCAAGTCTGTGTTATTTTAGTATAATTTATATATTATTATAGTAATTATTAATGTTTTAGTCATTTTGTTTGTGCTTTTGTCATTTTTATTAGCTTTCTAAAAATATTTTAATTAGGCTCTAATTTATTTAAGCTTTTTTGTCATTTTAGCACTTAACCGTATTTCAGTTATTTGCAAAGGCAACATTTTGTTGCCAGTTTTTATTTATTTATTATTTAAAGCTGCAGTCCGTAGCTTTTTTTGGGTTAAAAATATCCAAAATACATATATGAGAAAATACATAACCAGCCAGTGTTCAAAACTATCTGCTTGCCGTAGCTCGATTCAAAGCGGTAAGCTTGTAATAATGTTTTTAACTCCAGTGGTACTGGTGGATTTCCATGGGAGATTCGAGCATGTCTTTGTGTCATTACGTCACATCACATCGTCACATTACGGACTGCAGCTTTAATAAAAGTCATTCATATCGGTATCAGCGGATATATGTTCATATTTAATGTTATCGTTATCGGCCCGATTAGAAAATTTGGCCGATATATTAAAGCCGATAAATAATGGATTATTTCCTTCAGCTGAGACGCTTCAGACACACACTGTTCACCATGATGGTTTTGATATGCTTGAAATATGATTGAAATCACTTCAAAAAGAAAAGTGCAGCATAAGTCTGTAGGCACAATAAAATTATACTGAGAGCAATATTATAATTGTGTGCTTGGGTAATAGATTTACATGGTGAGACTTTTATTTTGGGAATCAGGCTGTCAAAAATGGTAAAGAAATTTGGATTTAGATTTATCGGCCAATATATCGGTTATCAGCTTTCAAATACAAAGAAGTATCGGTTATCGGTAGGCTATTGGGCAAATGTTCATATCGGTGCATCCCTATGCAGAGTTCAGCCCATGTACAGTATGATGTAAATGTAATGTACCATAAAAAATCTTGAATGATTGAATTAGATTTTTTGCCTTGTGGATGATTAAACACAGTGAAGTCCCTCAAGACTGACCTGAGTCACATCTAGAGTCCAAAATATGAGAGGGACTCTTTTTAACCTCCTAGAACACCCTATAATAAATGTGTGGTAACGTGCAAACACCACAACAAACTACTATCTTGGTGCCGTGCCGTCAGGAAATTTCTTTTGTTAATATAAATGAAAAAATAATCAATAGAAATGTGCTTCTCTGATTGTGCTTCTCATATACAAGCAGCACAAAATAATTTTGGGGGGGAATAATGTGCTGATTTTCTCTATCTTTTTTTGTTCTTGTTCTTGTGCAGTTTTTTTTTAGTGCAAGTGACTCACAGTATACCAACAACACCTTGCCAGTCCCCAACTGACCAAGACCCATTTGAAAATATAATGAAAGGCTCATATGACAGCGGCTGAAGTCGTATTAAAGCAGCCTTCCAAGCTTTTCCTGCTGCTCGGTTCATTATATTCACATTATGCAAAAAGGAGCGAAAAAAAAAATCTTTTTAATGATGTATTTTACTTAGCCTCTGAAAAAGCTTTTGAAATAAGTTTTGCACACACACAGAGAAAATGCCTCTGCATTCATGTGTGTCTCTTTTTCTCTATAGTGGCTAATGAGGATGGTGAGACCAACAGCCGGCCACTGGCGAGATTTGCACGTAAGTATGTGTTTTAAGAAAGCAACAAATGAACTCTGCACTACCTACTTTTTTTTTTTGTACACATTCTACATCTTGTTTCATATCCAAAAGGAATGGGCTGAAATGAAGTAGAAGGAACTAATTAGCAAATATATTTATTCATATAGCAGATGCTTTTATCCTACAATGTGCTGTAGAAATTCTGCGGAAACATTACCACTCACCGCATGTCTTTACAACAGGATTTTCACAGTCATGGAAAACCTGGAAATGTTAAAACCAGCACTGAAATTTCCATTCCTAAAAAAACGTATCCAGTAATTACAAATGACTGAAAAAAAGTCATGGTCATCATCATTTTTTGTATGAGCCACCACACTAATTAAAACAGAAAATATCAAAATAAGTGAAAATAAAGTGGTATTTTGGAAACTACAGTTACTAAATACACAATACTAACATCAACTGTTAATAACACATGGACACTAATCCTAATGAATAAAATTAACATCATACCTGCATCTTTCCCAGCTAACACATGATGTAGCCTACCATTTGCTTCATTTATTGGTACTTTTTGGTAATAATATAATTGTGACAATCAAGCGTAGCGTCAGTTCTGGCAAGTCATGTTAGTCAAGCTCGCATCGGCTGACTCTCAGCTGATCCACGTCTACCTATAGGAATATGATGCCTATCACTGTAGCCTATAAGCTCCTTCAGTATTAGCTATCAGCAGCATCATGTTTCTCAGGAGCTAATAACCCTCCCCCATTCCCTCCCCCATTCCCAGCTCCTCTCGTCCAGTCAGAATTTGGCATTCTGATTCCCCTTGAATCAAAATAAATTCCCGAACCATGTTGTACATTAAAATATTGACATTAATGATATCTGACTGAAATGCATGTTGATTCTGTTCTGTTTACCCTAAGGGGGGTTATTGCTGCTCTCCCTGCTCTTATTCCTGCTAGGCTGCATGGATGCGCAGGGAGTTCTCCCAGAACGGAACCATACCGCCAATCCAAACTGTATGCTAATTGTCAATCGTCTTTTACGATAGTGGTCCTGACAGAACTGATGTTGCATGCTTGTAATTTCATTGCTCTATATACAGCGCGTGCCTCTGTATTTGCGCACCACAAGCACAGTATAAAAGTCTGACAGTAAACTTTTTGTTTTTCTTAGGTGAGAGACTTTGTATTTCATAGCAAGATACGAAAATAACTTTAGATTACTTTTTTAATAGAATAATGACATTGACATACAGCACGACAACATCTGATAGCAGGACAGCGTTTTTTTATTTGGCACTCTTTACGTCTGACAGAGAGTCAACAACTTTCACACGCGCCTTTTAAAATAAAAGCCTTGCACCAGAAAAACATTTCGAACTACGTTTTGTTGTTGTTCTTTTTTCTTTGACTAAACACTCTGTGACCCACTCAAAACCGTCTTGCGACCCACCGGTTGAGAAACACTGCTCTAGACCACATAAACGTGGCCTTGGTCTGCATGGATCTCAGCTTATAGACTTTGAGACAAGTCACCAATTTATTACCTCTACAAAAGTTTCTCAATATCTCAACGGTCTTTATGACCCGATACAGTGAAGTTTAATATGAAACTTGTATGAGACTTTAGTGATGTAATTTTTTTTCTTCAATTTGTGATTTTAATGCTTTTTGGAAAAATTAAATAAGCTGAAAACCTGATTAAGTATTTAAATACCTTTTATTGGTACACAGTCTTGGTCTGGGTTTGGTCTTGACTCCAATAATAGTCATTACTACTACCCAGTCAAATGGCTGATTGTCCTTTTAATAGACATAACACTTTACATGGGCATGTCACTAGGTGGCAGCATCTATCAATAGATGAGTTTAATGGGCTTTATTCTTGATCCAAAGAATCTCAGAGCTTTTCAGAGGTGGCACACATTGCATCTGAATAGACCTGAATAGACATTATGAATACATGATCTCATGATGGTAACGATGTGCACAGCATTGGTGGGAGCAAAACAATATGATATACCATGAATCAACAACTAGGCCATTAAGATCTCTAGAGTAGGCTTTAAAAACATTTTTGGTTTTCTGTTGCCATTGCTGTTATTTTGAATCAGAATACTACAAACAAATAAATAAATAAAAAAAAATTCTAAAGGCATGGGAAAGGCTTTAAATATTTCAGTTTCATTTTCAATTCAGTGTTTTGATTTTTTTAAATCTTAAAAAAAAACCACACGAATTATTTATATAATTACATAAACTATGTTTAATTGTATTGTATAACTATGGCTAAATGTACCAATAGTAATTGCATTACCAATAGTATTGTCAAGTCAAGTCACATTTATTTATACAGAGCTTTTTACAATACAGATGGTTTCAAAGCAGCTTTACAGAGATAACAGGAAAATAATGCAAAACAATTTTTTCGTTTCCAGAAGAAAATAGCGTCACAGTTCAGCTTAAGTTCAGTGATGTTTAATTTTTGTTTGAAAAAAGCTATTAATTTAGTTAATTTATATATGTTTAGCCGCTCTGGAGTAAACCATGTCATCGTCCAGCTCAGTTCAGTTCTTGTATAATAATGTCAATGCAGGCAGATCAATATTATTGTTGAATATTTAATTAAATGTTAAATTTAATGTCCCCAACTAAGCAAGCCAAGCCAATGGCAACAAAGGTGGAAAAGGCGACAGTGGCAAGGAACCAAAACTCTTTCAGGTGGCAGAATGGAGAAAAAAACCTTGGGAGAAACGAAGCTCAGTCGGGGGCCAGTTCTCCTCTGGCCAACGAACGAACATTGTATGATTATGATTCAGGCAGCATTATAGGTCAGAAGTCAGATGGGTTTGGAACAATCAGAATATTATCCAGTTCCATAATAATAATATGAATAATTGGAATGTATAATTTTATATGTCTATGCCAGGTTAAAGAAATGTGTTTTTAGTCTAGATTTAAACTGACAGAGTGTGTCTGCTTCCCGGACAATGTTAGGAAGACTGTTCCAGAGTTTTGGTGTTAAATAGGAAAAGGATCAACCGCCAGCAATCGATTTTGATATTCTAGGTATTATCAACTGGCCAGAGTTTTGAGATCACAATAGACGTAAAGGACTATAATGAGTTAAGAGCTCGCTCAAATACTGGGGAGCTAAACCATTTAGTACTTTGTAAGTAATCAGCAATATTTTAAAATGTATACGATGTTTAAAAGGGAGCCAATGCAATGTTGACAGAACCGGGCTATATATGTGTTATGAAGCAGCAGGAAGCAGGATCCAAGTGCAGCAGTGTTTTTATTAAATAAAGACTAGAACTTTAACATAAACTCAGACTAAGACTCTGGAACAGAACAATCGACATGCAACATAACATCAAGAACTCACAAAGACTGACCTAGACACAGGGCTTAAATACATACCGGACTAACGACGAGACAAGGGACACCTGTGAACATTTAAACAATCAACCAATGACAACATGACACAACAGACTGGGAACACAAGGCAAGATCACATGACTAGAACAGGGGATCACATGACAGACAAGAACCAGGAACAAGAAACAAAACCCAAACCGTGACAATTCTAACTAAGTAATTTAAGATGGAAGAATGTGGTTTTACAGATGCTAGAAACGTGGCTTTCAAATGAAAGATTGGTATCAAAGAGCACACCCAGGTTCCTAACCGACGATGAAAACTTGACAGAGCAGCCATCAAGTGTTAGACAGTATTCTAGGTTGGTACGTGCTGAGGTTTTTGGTCCAATCATTAGGATCTCTGTTTTTTCAGGATTAAGTTATAGGAAATTACTAGTGATCCAAATTTTTATATCAGCTATGCATTCTGTTAATTTTCTGAATTGGCAAGTTTCGTTGGGGTGCGAAGAGATATAAAGCTGAGTATCATCGGCATAACAGTGAAAACTAATCCCATGCTTCCTAATGATATTTCCCAAGGGTAGCATGTACAGAGTGAACAGCAACGGCCCTAGTACTGAGCCTTGAGGTACTCCATACTGAACATGTGATCCATAAGACATTGACATTTCTTCATTTACTGCTACAAACTGATAACGGTCAGATAAGTATGATTTTAAACCATGCTAATGCAATTCCACTAATGCCAACATAATTTGTTGGCATTAGTGTTGGCATTGGCACTAGCTCCAATAGAGTTCAGAATGTCTCTAAATGCTAATCCCAATGCGTCTTTTTCGTTATCTACATGTATATTAAAATCACCAACCATTAGGACTTTATCTGCAGCCAGTACTAACTCCGATAAAAAATCAGCAAATTCTTTGATAAAGTCTGTATGGTGTCCTGGTGGCCTATATACAGTAGCTAGCACAAATTTCAAGCGTGATTTACCATTTAAACTAGATAGTGTTACATTAAAAGTGCAATGTGTGATATTTCTGAGGATCTATTGACAGAAATGCAATATAAGATCCATAACTATGTGTTCAGTGGTGTATAAAGACCTTACTCAATGAACCGTTATGATTTTATTACCTTAGAATTAGACATTTATATCTACATAACCGCGGGGACCCCCTCGACATATTGTGACGTTTCTACCGTAGCCGACAGTGAACAAACAGCGCTACAGAGCGCGTTTCGTTCATGCCTTGAAAGAGAAGCTGCAGAAAGCTAGAAGCTAGCCATACACACCGTGAGTAGTGACTTTTCCCTTGTCAGTGGTGTCAAATATGTAGTTGGATTGTTTCATGGAACTTAGTTCTTCTCCCTCGCTGTGTTATGGCTTTGACAATCAGCTGATTAGTACTATTGACCGTTAAACAGTAACGTTACAGGAGTCACCAACCCGTCGATCGCGGTCGACAAGTCGATCTTGGAAGCATTTTAAGTCGATCATGAAGAGTTTTCAAAACCAGAGAAAAAAAAAACAATATTTGTATTCATTATTATTTATTAATTTGTGTAGTAAATGGTGTCTAGGGGATGCGGAGGCGCGCGCGCTGTTACAATCACATCATTTGGGACGCGTCGAGTATAAACGCGTCGAGTATAAACAATGCTTTACGCTTTAACCAGCTCAGCCACAGCCCTACAGCATAACGGCTCATATTAGCCAGCTAAACTTTTACTACCCTGTTAGAAAAAATATATATAGTTGGATAGTTTCATGTGGTTCTTCTCCCTCGCTGTATTATGGGTTTGCTGTGTGGGGAGAAATGTGCTGGTTACGTTCTTGAGACAATCAGCTGATTACTATTATTATATTATAATATATTAAGACCCTTGATCCTCACCTGACTATGGCTTTGTAAACTTTATCCATGATGTGGTTTATATGGGCTGTGGTACAGAAACTTGGCTTACTCTGGCTATTCTCTGCTGTCTCAGACGACGATATGTTTGTCCCGTTTTAGCAACCGTAGCTTCTTCGAAAGGGAGGGGTGAGCAGTGGGCTGAGCCATTAGTGCAACTCGCAACCGAACCACTAGATGCCGCTAAAATCTACACACTGCACCTTTAAGCACCAATACTTCAAAAGAATTATATTTGAAACTAGACTTCTCAGTAATTCTGAAGATATTACTATAGATTACAGCAACACCACCCCCTTTTCCTTTCAGATGTGGCTCGTTTTTATAACAGTCATCTTGGGGGGTGGACTCATTTAAAGAAATGTAATTGTCTGGTTTTAGGCAGGTTTCTGTCACACACAACACGTCTAGGTTATGGTCTGTAATCATATCATTAACAATAAGTGCTTTTGAAATAAGGGATTGAATATTCAGCAACCCGAGCTTTATCATTTGTTCATCTGTATTATATCTATTTTTTATTTGTTGAACATCGATCAAATTTTTACCCTTAAATGGGTTTGGGAGTTTTTTGTATTTCCTAATTCGGGGAACAGACAGTCTCTATATGATGATATCTAGGTGAAAGAGTCTCTATGTGATGGGATTTATCTGACCTCAGTGACGTAAGACAGCTAGCAGATGGTCGGTTTAGCCAGTCTGTCTGCTTCCTGACCTGAGCCCCAATTCATGTTTGAGCTCTAAGACTATGCGCCATATTACTAGAGAGAAGAGCAGCACCATCCCAGGAGGGATGAATACCATCTCTTTTCAACAGGTCAGGTCTGCCCCAAAATTTTTCCAATTGTCTATGAACCCTATATTATTTTGCTGACACCACTTAGACAGCCAACCATTGAGTGAGTACAGTCTACTAAGTATCTCATCACTCCGGCGAACAGGAAGGGGGCCAGAGCAAATTACAGTGCCTGACATCGTACTTGCGAGTTCACACACCTCTTTAATGTTAATTTTGGTGATCTCCGACTGGCGAAGTCGAACATCATTAGTGCCGACGTGAATAATAATCTTAGAGAATTTACGATTAGCATTAGCCAGCACTTTTAAATTTGCTTTGATGTCAGGCGCTCTGGCTCCCGGCAAACATGTGACTATGGTGGCTGGTGTCTCAATTTTCACGTTCCGTGGAATAGAATCGCCAATAACTAGGGCACATTCAACAGGATTCACAGTGGGTGTTTCACTGAGTGGGGAGAACCTGTTTAATGTTGTAATCGGATTGGCAGAGCGGTGTTTTGTCCCGCGACTACAGCGTCTCACAGTCACCCAGTTGCCCTGCTGCACGGGCTCTACAGCCGGAAACGAACAATGTACAGTGTTCACTAAGCTAGTCGCATCCAAAGCGGTATCTAAGGCCCTTGCTTTCTTACTATCCTCGATTAAAGTTTGGATGCGTGTCTCTAGTTCTAAAATCTTCTCCGTCAGCCTGACTATCTCCCTGCATTTATCACATTTAAATCCTATATTGCTGACAGAGAAGGCTATACAATACATGTGACATGAAGTGCAGGTGAAAATAACAGGAGAAGACATTACTCACTGTTTTTGTTGACTGATCCTACTTATTACAGTTGTTTGATGGACTCGTAAAAGGCGCGAGCGCGCATGAGACGACAAGCACAGATGGCAGGTTAACAGGCTAGCGAGATGCTAGCGATAACGATTTAGATAAAAGCTAGCAATGTCAGATTAATGTGATATGCAATATTACACAATATCTAATATATGTTGATGAGTAAGTTATATTTAGCAAATATAAACAACAAGGTATGATAGAAAATAGAGATTCAAAGCAGAAAGCTATACGGAGCATACAGACACAAACCACTCAGCAGCAAGGCAGACAGGAGCAATCGATCTGAGTGTGTTCGACTGTCAATATCATTGAAGCACGGCGGAGGATATATTTGTCATATTGTGGCAGGCAAAGACATAATGTGTTGCTTTTAGAAAGCAGTTTATAAATGGGAGCTGTTTCATTGTCAATCAAAGTCTTTACTCTGATTCATCTTGTTCATCTTCACCAGGCTCAAAGTCTCAGAGTGCACTATGGAACACACTCACAGCTGGGACAGGGAAGAAGGAAAAGGGCAAAGTTGAGAGGGACATTCCAGACGATCCACGCAGAATAGAAGAGATCCTGGCGGATGAGCTTCCCGCTACAGACGTCCCAGAAGCAACAGAAAAAACTGCTGTCAGGTTCATCTCTCTCCTTTTATTGTGGTCAACAGTTGCTTTACAGGTCATGCGATCATGTCTACTGACAGGATGGACCGATTTGGGAACAGCAAATGTTTTCTCGATTATCAACTTTGTCTCAGAATTTTCTCCCAAAATGAATTAGGATAGCAGGTGCATTTGTCATTGGAAGAAATTGATGAGAAATGTTTTAGTTCATATTGAGATCCCTGACTTTTGATTGCATACTTTGGTATCCTGGCCAATTTGAGTGCCGTTTGAAACTTTTTGAGATCCCTTCTCAGAAATGAGAAGCTCTACAGTGATAAACAGGTTAAATTCAGGTATAAGCAGCTCTACAGAAGACGGTGTCCTTATTCAGATCAATTCAGTTCAGTGTTGATTAAATTCTGTTCAATAATTCTGAATACTAAGTGTCCCCAACAAAGCAAGCCAAAGGCGACAGTGGCAACAAAGAATGCAAAAGCTACATTTGCCTTTGGTGGTACATCAAGATTGCTGGTTCACTAGGAGAAGTGGGAATTGTCTACTTGTAAGGCGTTTAATAGGACATCTCTATAAAGATTTAGCCTTTAAAGATTTTGAAGTCATAGTAGATGAGAACACGGCTGTCGTGCAGAATCTGTTGCTAGTTTTCATTGCTTACTCTACAGATGGAGTTGTGTCAGAGCATTAGTTGACTGGATTGAGAACACTTGAGACTTGAACACTGAGAATATCATGACACTTGAGCACCGCTGAGCATATCATAAGTGGATCAAGCAGAGCTGAAATTCCCTGAACATTTTTATGGCTGATATCAAGAATTCTTTTAGGGTATTTGCAAACTGCAGCAGCAAGAAACCGGCTGCAGTCCACTTGAGAAGGTCTGAGATACATTCAAGTGGGCTCCAGAACGGTTTATAGTTCATAAATGGTATTAAATTCAACCTGGCCTAATTTGTTGATGTGACTCTTTATAGGACAAATTATTTTTAATTGAATGCAGTGAATGAACATTAATAACTTGAATATGCAAGGCTTCCAGTTTTACTTGCTTCGAGTTATTTTGCCTTACAAAAACAGTCAATTATGCTGCTTGATATTGCTGGTTGTTATATTGTATTATTATAATCAAACACTTGTTTGTAGTGCAAACAGTTTTACTGTTTACTGCACTTCTAGTTATTTACATATTGTCAGGTGAGGTTCAGAAAAGAGGCGAGGACTCAAAAGATTCAGAGAAAATGATTGGCTTTTATCTGTAACAAAAACCAGAAGCCAAAATTACCCCGTTGGGGAAAAATAGACCGGCAATGGGCAAGGGAGGGCTGGACACGGCTGGACCTAACGGGAATACATCCACAATGAACTGGCACTGGACAGAGAACAAAGGAAGAATAAGGGTATGTTTACGTGACAACAATGTACCAAAAACTGATTTTTTTTCCTTCAATAATTGAAAATGATTTAAAATTGAAAATCGTACTTAGTTGATTGATCACTGAAGAGTTTAAATATTGATATAACTTTTAAACTCTTGCCTTCTGCCTGTTTGACTCTGCTGAGACAAGTTGTATTTTGGGGTTTTGCCAAGATAGAGCACGAGTGTTAAGCACACTTAATGATAAATTTGATTTGTTTTGGGATAATTAATGAAGGCAGGTGTTGCATGTCACTGAAAGCTCTGTTTGTAGTGCACCACTAGAGAAGAAAGATGTCTTTGAGTGTGAAAGAAATGTGTGTTTTTGAGATTGGGTATGATTATTGCTTCTTGTTGGGGAGGGGGAGGTACTGACTGACATGTCATGTGACGAATCACAATTTAGTTTTTTTTTAAGGAACATTTGGAGAGGATCAATCTGGAAACAACAAAGACACAGTATTAGCATGAGAGAGTGAAATGAGAGAATGTGGGTCTGAAAATAATTGCAATTTTATCCTTTAAACATGCAAAAAATGCATGCATGAGTGCAAAAAAGCATAACGCGGCTCATAAAGTCTTTATAATACAATATGTCTGCTGACAAAACACTTTAAATTAAATGTCATATCATAAGAAATAGCCCTCATTGATTTTAACATGTATTAGATAACTTTTCTAATGACTTTGCTTTAAGTATTTACTCATTAGTGTGAGTGGGATTTGATTATTTTCATGAAGTATTCATTATGACGCACTCCAACAGAGAGTTGCCGCCCATAAAATGATTGTTATTAATGGCGTGTTTGTTCCCGAGCCTGTTGTCAGAAAGTAGTTATGCTCATTAGTGGCATTGTTAGCATAACCAGTTGCATTCGGTATCGGAGGTTAAATTGATAAAAGGAATATTGTTCGGACTCATTATCAAGCACCTGTCTGACTGCTGTCGATATTACAATACCCTGAAATGGAAGAAAAGAACTGCACACATCGATAAAACAGACCGGGCGTTAGTTAAATGTAATTTATCGCATAATAAGTAAAGCTGTCAATTTAACATGCTAAATTGGTACAATTAAATATATTTGATGCTGTGAGATCCAGGCAGGCAAGCAATGATTATGTCAAAAATCTAATTTGAATATGGAATAACAAATTGATTAAGTCAAAATGTAAAATTATAAAGACATCAATTTGATTAACAAAAACAAGATCTATCTTATTCAATAGTTTATAATAAAGTCCAACCTATTGTATCCAACAGATGAAGATTGTGAAGATCAGAGTATAAAGAAAGAAGGACTCAAAAGAAGTAAGAGTAAAAGAGAAGTAGCAGAAGTGAATTGCAAAATAAGTGCAGTGAATATATATGCAGGGAACTTATGTTCCTAAGCTTATGTTTCGGTGTAATAAGAAAAGGTCAAACAGACTTATCCATTACCATTATATCATAGTTGGTGTAACGGCTAGGTCGGCATGACCGGTCAGATGTCAAAGATGAAAATAAATATACGAAGTGTGGTTTGGACAACTTTAGAACAAAGACAGCGAAGCAATCATTTTAAAATATCATATCTTATCATAAAAACACTGTTTTTGGAAAAGAACACCTAGTACTGTGAATGACTAATTCTGAGAAATGATCACTCTGACAGTAGTTGGAAGGAATCCAATATCAAAACACAAGTACATTGTAAAATCCAACAGCTGTTCTAACTAACACTCTTTAAAACCCCATTTCCAGAAAAAAGTTTAGACATTTTGTAAAATGCAATATAATCAAGAATCTGTGATTTGTTCATTCTCTTCAACCCGTTTTTAGCTGACAAAAAAAAGTACAAAGATTTCCAATGTTTTCATTCACCAACTTAATTGTATTTTGTACATATAAACAAATAAACACACTCCAAAAATGTTGGGACAGAGGCATGTTTACCACTGTCACACATCACATGTTAATTACACATTTTAATTGTTTGGGAATTGAGGATACTAATTGTTGAAGTTTTGCAAGAGGAATTTTTGCCCAATCTTGCCTCATACAAGACAGCTGCTCAACAGTCCGTGGCCGTAGTTGTCTGATTCTACTTTTCATGATGGGCCATACGTTTTCAATAGGAGACAGATTTAGACCCCTCTGCTGTTACACGTGCAGAATGAGGCCTGGCATTGTCTTGCTCTAATAACCATGGATTCCCAGGAAATATGTCATCTTGATGGCAGTTTTATGTCTCTGTACAATCCCAATACACGCCTCCACATCAATGGTAGTCCCCATGCCGTTTGCACTGATGCACCCCCATACCATGACAGATGTGTGCTCTTGAACATGTCGCTGATGAAAGTCTGGATTGTCCCTCTCATCTTTTGGAATGAGAACTCGATGTCCAATTTTCCCCAAAACATGCTGAAACGTGGAATCATCTGACCACAGCACATATTCTCACTGTGTTTTGGACTATCTGAGATGAGCTCGGGCCTGGAGAACTGATTTATAGCTTTTTACTTGCGTAACAGAGATTCAAGTGGCATTTCTTGATGCAACAGCAGACTGTGTTAAGTGACAACGGTTTTCCAATGTACCCCCAAACACATGTGGCTGTATTTAACAGAGTAGCATGATGGTTTCTCATGCTGTGCCACATGAGGGCTCAAAGGTCATGCAGGTTTCCTGCTTTGCCCTACATATACTCAGATTTCTCTGGATTCCCTGAATCTTTTCACAATATTTTATATAGTAGATATCACTATCTACAACACCTACAATGTTTGCAATCTTACATTGAGAAATGTGATTTTTGAATTGTTTGACAATTCTCTCATGACATTTTCCACCTAGTGGTGAGCCATGACCCATCTTTGCTTGCAAAGACTGAGATGCTCCTTTTACGCAGTCACAAAACCCTAGCCTATTATATAAAAACCTAGTAATCTGTACTATTCACATATGCCTTGTTTACTCATAAAACCCAAGTTAAGATTAATTGATTGGTTTAACACAAACAAAAGGCAATTCTTAGACTTTCACTCATTTCTTCCACTTCTGCAGTTATCTTTCTCTAGTTGTATTCACTCATTTCCCAAAGTCATCTTGAATTGTCAATACAATACAACTGAAATGTGTCAATACAATACAACACAACTTGTCAATACAACTGAAAAAAAAATGGAGAGAATATCACATAAGCTGACTTCATAAATTGATGTTGATTTTCCTAAGATGTTTTAGTTTGAACTCGCCATTATGGTGATCAGTGTTCCCCTTGGTTGAGCACTTGGAACTTCATTTATAATGCTGTAATTCTCTTCCTGTTGTTGCAGCGATGCAACAAGAAATCACAGTTATTTGGTTTCTAAGGAAGGGAAGTAATAAATGGGTTGCTTTTAAAAGGTGACCTAACTTCTAACTAGATCATTAACTAGTCTATTTATCATGTCGAATAATGATCTTTTAAAATTTTATTGCTAACACTTATGTCATAAAACACACTTTTAATTGAGTTGCTATAATATTTGTGACAATATCTTGCAATTGTCCATGCTTGAGTCACACACAGACTTCAACATCAGTACGCAAAACACAACAATAGTAACATTT